CCAACCCCTTCCCCATCTTAGACATCTTAGGTGGAAAGCAGAGGTGTTCTCATAATTGGCACCCCCTTTGTTCTGTTCCACCGCCTTTTATAGCTTTGACACAAGGCGGGAAACTTTTGTCTCTCTGGGTCCCCATCCCTCCTTCTAAAAGGAAAAGCACCAAGTTTAAGCTGGATTCCAGTATCAGGTGACATGTTCACATGTCCTGTGAGACCCCAGCCTCCATTCTTCCAGGGCTGGACTGCACGTACCCAGGTAAATAAACCATCTACACCCAATTGTCCTAGTCAATGGGAGCCATCAAGATTCTAAACCACCATTAATGGCCCACACTTTGCATAATTACATAGGACCTCAGAGTTATACTTCATATTTCTAGCTTCAGATACAAGAATGATACATGCATACAAATAGGAGGAATATAACCTTTGTAATGATTCCTTACAAGAGACCTTTTGTATAAAGCATATTCCAGTTACATCATATTCACTCATAAACATATTTCCATAAAACATATGGAGTGCAACGCCACAATCTAGGCACGACTGTAATACAAATAACTATAATAATACGTTGAGTAGCAACCACAAAACAATATCTGAACTCCTGCTCAGACCCATGTCTAGCCTGCTTCTGAAATAACTGGTACAGAACTCTTCTGTGAAATTAAACACCCCTTTCTCCCATCGGGATCATAAAATCAAACTTTATGATCCTTTGAAAGGTGCAGCTTTGCAAGGAGCGATGAAATAAAACAATAAGCTCAGCCTTGAGAAGTAACGATCTCTTGTGGTCCCCATAGCTTTGTGAAGAGCTGGGAAATTATGACTGCCAGTCTTTATATAAAATATCTCCCTTTTCCCCTCCAGTTCCATTTTGTACTGTTGAACCTCAGAGTGAGGAACTGACCAGTCAACCACACACCTCATTTGGAAGCAGAAGTACACAATCAGGCAGCAGCAGAAACAAAAAGAAAAAAGAAGAAAAAGAAAGCAAATACAGTATTGTGTTAAATGTAAACTACTATCAAAATAAAGGGAAAGTTTAAAAGAAGATTTGACAAGGTAAGGAAACTGTGTCTGTGCTTGCATTTAAATTAAGTTGGTTAAAATAAGCATTTTTTTTCTGCATAGTAAAGTTTCAAAACTGAGTTAAGCCAAGGTTCAGTTGTAAATTTCTAAAAGACCCACCATACCATTTTGTTCATAGTTACAAACATTTCAAAGTTATGAACAACCTCCATTCCCAAGGTGTTTGTAACCCTGAGATTCTACTCTAATTCTCTTTTGGTCTACGGGGCAGGCAGAGACCACAGCAATGACCAATGTTATTGGGTTTTGGCACAGAAACATCATTTATTATTTATTTAGACCTCACAACCATCCATTAAAAGGAAGCGTCTGTCCTTTGCGCATGACAATTCTCAAACCCCCATGGAACTTCTGTAACCCCCGCTCCCCCTTCTACAGCACCTAATACTAGCCCACAGCCAAACCCATATTTAACATCTCTGATCAGAGCTTTGCTAGCCCCTCACTTCTGGGGAAAACCAATGGGCCCCCAATGACCTCTCAACTACAGCTATTATGGGCCAAGCAGGGGAGTTGGTTCCAAACCCGTGTCCCCTGCCAGCTGCCCTATATGCTAGTGGGGCGCTAGTGCTGGTGCTCCTGCCAATGGTAACTGTGGCAGTTTTGCACGGGGAGATTGTCAGTATTTGGGGGACATGGCTGTCTTTTTTGTCCTATGCTTGTACAGCACCTAGCACAATGAGATCCTAGTCCATGACTGAAGCAGCTAGGCCCTACCATTATACAAATACTAAATAATAATCAATGGGAGAAGGTAATCCTTATGATAGATGGGCCCCAGCTCCCAGGCTGATTACTAGGCCCCTGTAATATTTAGAGGTGAGGAAGCTAAAATATTTTTTATTTTTGAAAGTGAAAACTGAATCTAAAAGTCTCTCTTCTCTGGGTAGTTTGGAAGAAACACAGTATCCGCACGTTTGTAGCCTTCTTGGACTCTCCTGATGTTGAATATTCTTATGGAGAAGCTCTTGGCTGCCAGAGTTTCAGTACATCAGTGTTCAGAATCAATAGCATTATTTTTATTATTGTTATTTGCATAGCTTCAAAATTCCTCTCCCACAATTCGGTGCCAGTTTCTACGCAAGCAGTTTTTGTGGACAACTAACCCAGTTTATTAAACGCATCAAGTCTAATCTCAGGCCGCTGGAGTGCTGACAAACCTGAGACGTGGCAGCGATGGCTTTGCAGGAATTGAACCCCAGATGGCTCGCTGACTGACTTTGTGATTTGCGGTTGCATGCAGTGTCTGGGCTGGAGCCCCAGACGTGAGAGCCAATCTCTTTACTGCATTCAAAAGCCCCCGGTTTCACTTGCCTCAGTACATGTTTACGTTAAGAACTCATTGCTAAGTGTCAATAATCAAGAGGATCTTACTTGCAAAAGTGAAAGTCTTTATTTTGCTGAAACCAGTAAATGAAGACAGATACTAAATGAAAACCCAGCAAGATGCTTGGCATGCTTCACTGACTATACATCCAAGAGGAACGGCCTCCCCAAACCTTTAAATTAACTTCCTTTTATTCCAAGACAAAATTTGAGGGAAATGTATGACATACCAAATGGAAATCCCAGGGAAAAACAACTCACATTCCTTGGCAATACCTGTTAGCATTACGTACACATGGCATAAGGCTAACAATGCCAGCCTTGGAAGGGAAAGGACTCCTATACTCACTAGATACCTGGAAACCTGGCTGTAAGGGAGGTTCCAGAAGGACTAACGGGCAGTGGAGTTCTCACAGGAACTTTTGAATGTGCAGGACTGCCAGTCACAATACTCACCTCAGGCCTGGTCTACACTGGGGGGAAAGGAGGGGCACGAGCTAAATCGGTGTAAGTTACGTAACTTCAACTACGAAAATAGCTTAAGGGTGCTTAATCATTGAAACAAACTGCCAAGAGAAGTGGTGGATTCTCAATCTCTTGAAATCTTCAAGTGAAGAGCAGATGCTTTCTGGATGATATGCTTTAGTCAAACACAAGTTATTGGGCTTGATACAGGGGTAACTGGCCTGTGTTATGCAGGAGGTCGGACTAGATGATCTAATGGTTCCTTCTGGCCATAAAATCTATCAATCTCCCGCTTCATCTCAAGCCTTCACCTCTCCCTAGTTTCTCCATCACCATGGACACCACTCACCAGCCTTCAAGCCCTTAATATTGGCATCAACTTCGACCAGGCTCTCTCAACACTATGTCCAAATTTTGCTGCTTCTACAAACATAATATTTCAAAGATTTGACCTTTTCTGTTTGTCCAGACTGTCAGTGCTCTTGGCTCAGGCCATCAATATCTTATGCTATTGTGATCTCCTTCTCTTCGGCCTTGGTATTAACCACACTGCCCCCTTTAAGGCCATTCAAAACAATGCTGCCAGGATCATTGTTCCTGGCTTGTCAGGCTGCTGACATCACCCCCTTCTTTGTGTCTTCCACTGCATCAACTGTAAACTCTTTACCTTTGCCTTTAAGGCCCGTCTCCATTTAGCTCGCCCTGTCATTCAGATCTGCCTGCTTATTGAGCTGTTGACTCCTCCCTTCATTCTTGTCACCGATGGCAGTCCAACAAATGTTAAATAACAACAAACAAACAATCTCAGTGCTGGGGAACTAGTTCAAATGCCTCTACTGATGGCAGCTGTGGCAGTGTGGCCATTTTGTGAGTTTAAGTTACTGATAACTTTGGCATGGATACCGCATACTTCTGGAGGCTACTTAGTAATGTCGCAAGTATGGAGCTGTCTGACTGCAGGAGTTTTTCCACATCTTGCAGCTAACCAAGGGGCAATTACAAAATTAGGGTCTGGCCCAAAGCCCACTGATGTCAATGGGAATCTTTGAATCCGGCCCTACATGTAGAGGGATAATTCCCTGGAGTACACTGAGAGCTGTACACCAACTAATGCCCAGTAAACACTTGTTTAATCAAATGAGATGGGGAACATGAGAAGAATGTAGATACAAGAGGGACTTCTCAATGTGTGTGATACATCGAGGGCCACTGGCATTGGCCTGGAGAAATAGTTTTTGGATACTCAAGGGTTGACAGTGTTAAACTGCTCCACAACACTGGTGACATCTGTGAGAGTGTAACATTATCTAATCACTGTTTTTCACTCTCTTTCACCTGCTTGGGAAAAAAAAATATTTCAGCTCTTCTGCACCCCCTGCACACTCCATACAACTATTTACATGGTAGTCATTAAAAATAACCCTATTATTTCTGAGTCCTTTGCTGTACATATTATTTATTCTACAGCAGTGCTTAGGGTCTGTCATGATAGGCACTATACAAATGAGAGAAACAAAGACCCTGCCCCAGAGAGCTCACAGTTCAGGATTACGACACTATGTGCAAGGTAAGAAGGATGGCGCTGTGGACAGGGCCACTGGACTGCAACTCAGGAAGCCTGGGTTTAAGTCCCAACTCAACCACAGTTTTCCTGTGTGACCTTGGACAAGTCACTTAATTTACACACAATTCCCATCTGCACAATGGGGATAAATTCTTCTCTACCTAGCAGGGGTGTTAGGAGGATAAATCTATCAAAGATTGTATCAGATCCTGCAGTGAAGAGAGTCATAATGACCTGATATACAATGACTGGGAGTGTGTATTAGTTGTAGGGTGGCTTTACAAATACAGGGATATCTGCTTGGCCAGTTGAACGTGAAATCATTTCTCAAGAAAAATGGGAAGTACATGTTGGCTTCAGAGGCTCAAATGTACTTCCACTTAACCGAACATTTCTTTCTTCCCATGAATTCGCGTTCTCTTTAAGACAGTATGCATAGATCACCTCTCACAGAGCTCTGCGTCTGGTGTAAGGTAAAGAATTCAGTTGCTGAACAGGTTGAAGGAATCACCATTATGATGAATACCAAAATTTAATGACTGAAAAACAAATCATGAGAGAAAAAGCCAACTATGCATCTTTATTGACTCACAAAATCAACTGCCATCAACTCCCTCACCCCGGCAGTTACAATAGAAGAGACATTTTTCCTGGCAAGGTTCAGCTGATTAGGATCTACTTTCCAACCTCAACACGTACGTGCTTTTAATTCAGGGCAGGAGACTCTCGCTTTACAATAGCCATTTCTTAAAAGCAAACGTGTGTCAGTGATGGTAACACCGAGCAGTTCTATCACATTCAATCTTCAAAGCACTGTACAGACATGTAATTAAACCTCATAGCACTCCTGACTCCCAGTCCTGTGCTTGGGTCACACCCCCTTATTAACATCTTGCATTAAAAAAATATCAGCTCCCAACAATGCTTATTCATTATAGTCCTAACTTTTGTTCCTCCCATGAGGATTTTAACCCTTTAGTTAAGTAAGATTCATTAATGCACCTGAAGTGCTTTGAAGATTTAAAGTGCTACATAAATAATACTAAGAAGTGGTAGGGTCTAAATCTCCCAAGAAAAGTCTCGCTCCCGAATTCCCTCCATTAAATTTACCACAGGATTATTTGGTACAAAAATTCTCTCCATCTTTCCCCAATATCATCACAAGCAGTCAAATGCAGACTCATTATACATACAAACACTCCAGCGCAGACTGGTCCATGTGAGTCAGCCATGGAGCTACAAAAGACAGGAGTGAGGAAACCTCGGGAAAGGAATAACATCTTTGATATTGTCCACTCCCAAGATGCACTGCAGGTAGCGCTCAAACCCCATTCCGAAGCCTCCATGAGGGGCTGATCCAAACTGCCGGAGATCTAGATACCTGCAATTTAAATAGTTACATTTACAACATGGTTGTGCTCAGATAATGAAAGCGGTTCTTTACATTTTGAGTTTTTCCTTCATCTTAATTACTTTGCTTGACCCAGACTCTTGCAACATCAAAAGTATCTGTAGTTAGAGATGGAAGACATCTAATTAGCTCATTTAGTCCTTCCCCTACTGATGCTGAATTTTGCCCTGCAGAGATTCTTTAATTTTCCATCAAGTCCAGTTTTAAATGTGCTAAGTGATGGGGTTTAAAAATGTGCCCTGGCACGCTATTCCGTTGCCTAATAGGGCTTGGTATTAAAGGTATGTCTTCACTGTAGAGTTAACTCAGGCACTTCCTCAGGTGTTGCCCCTCGTTCCCCTCCTCTCCCATCCACACACATAACCCTCTCACATCTGGAGTTTTAAACCCAGGCTAACTGACCCAGCTGGGGGTACAGGTTAGAGCTTTCGCTCGGGCTGTTAACACACCCGCTTTGCAGTGAGGACGCAGGCTAAATCACTGAAGTGCTGGCAGATGTCCAATGCCTTCCCACAATTCTCCCCTATGTGCCAGAAGGACAGAAAGGTTCTCCCACAATTCACTAGGAAAGAATCATACAGCGGCTCAGCGTACTACAGCACAAACAACCCTGGAATATATCCCCAGAAGCCGCAGCAATGCACGCACACACACACACACACACACACACACACTACAGCAACTTGGGTTTGGATAGGGCTTTGCAGTGAGGCTGCTCACACCTGCACTAGGCTAACCTACGCATTCAGACCTGGGTGCTGACCTAGAGCCCATTAAAGTTAACGGAAGCTCCCACTGCCTTCAATGGGCTTTGGATCAGGCACTTAACCCATTTCTGATGACTGCTACAGGAGTAGCTCTTTCCCCGTCAGCGCATCACCAGTGGTGGAGTTGAGACATTTTCAATACTGCACTGACAAGAGAAAAAGCAGGTTGTGGCAGATGCATGGAAAATTTCCTTTATGCTGGAAAATGCTCCTTGGGGGTCTCTTTATTCAACACGCTGCACCCTGTACATTTTCCACCACGAAATAGCCACGGACTAGCCCAGCATGCTGCCTCTTGCAGTGGCCCACACATGACGCTTAAGAGGCAAGCGAACCCCTCCCCCTGCACCTGGCTGATTGTACAATGTAATTCCATGAAGGGAAATATTCTTCCATGACCCCAGCTGGCAATCAGTTTATGCCCTGCAGCTGGAGAGTTGATAGCCCGTGTAACCTTTGAATCTTGCTAAACTATGTACTGCAATAACATCCCAGGGTGCGGAATTCCAGGAGTTCATTATATACCAAGTTAAAAAAATCATTTCCTTTCATCCATTTCAAACACGTGTCTTTTTATCTTTGTCACGTGCCCTGTTGCTATATTACAGGGCAAGGCAAAAAGGAGCACCCTCTTTGCTACCATTCACGGTAGGATGTATTTCTACCTCCTTTCCAAACAACATAATCCATCCCTTTTAATCCCCTCATTACACTGAAATCTCCTTGCCCTCTGCTGGTTAAAGAAGCGAGCCTGAAAGAACAGAGGTGTCTAGGCACCCCATGCACCTGAACATTCAAGGCGGGGAAATGTTTTGTAAAACTGAAAGAAGTTCTAGTGAAATTACAACAATCCCAAAGAAATCTTGCTTTGTTGACTGATCCAACCCTCCCATGAGGGACGAGAGCAGAAAGAAAAAGATTTTGCTCACATCTGGGGAGAAACTGATTTTCTTCCCATTGGAAAAGGCCTTGGATCTTTGGGTTGATCAATGCTGACCTCAAACAACCTCAGTTTTGCATCTCAAAGTTCTTCTCAGTTTCCTATGCTGTTCAGGACCCTACAGGGTGAAATACATGTGCAGGAGGCCAGATTGGATGATCAGAGTGGTGGTCCCCTTCTGGCCTTATGTATCTGTTAATGAATATTTCAGTTAATACCCAGGCTCTATTGCTACGTACTGATGGTAGGTATAATGTCTGCTTCTGTTGCACACAGGACATGCTGTGTTTGAGAGGCAGTCGGGTCAAAACTTAAGCTCTGTGAACCGAAGACAAAGGCTTGAATCAGCACTCGCTGGAGTCAATGGAAAAACTCTCCTTGATTTCAATAGGTCACTGACTTACTGCGTGCCATTATGGGCAGATCATTTCCCCTCTCTGGGCACCATCATCTATGAAACAGGGAAGACACGATTTTCCCACCTCAGAAGGGGATTGTGAGTTTAACATTTGCATTGTGGTTCACAGAGGAGATGTGGCCTATCAATGCTGCTATTACCTATTGGTTGGAAATGCTAGAACAGATGAAGCTCACCCACTGCCAGTGAGCACTGCTGTATTTCAGGTCACCTCTGCTGCCCTGCTCTCCACTGTATAATAAAGAAGGGGAGTGGGAGTGAGAAGGCAGTGGGTCGGAAAGAGAGAAAGCAGCTGAAATGTCATGGCCCTAGATAGTTTTTACTTCTAATGGCATTACGTTCTTTCCTTCTTCTGTTGCCACAGAGGGTCACCTCTACCCTACTCAGTATATTGATAGAAAGATCACACTTGCCACTGAGACTCAGAGGAGAATATTACAACATGGAGGGGCCCAGCTTGGTTAGCCCTCCTCCTATCAAAAAGGGAATGAATTCCAATGGGACAGAGCAACCTCCACCTCCAAAGAGTAGATCACACGTACCCATCTGCTCTGTCGCTATCCCACTGAGCGAATGCTGGGAAATCCAGATCTCTAGGCAGAGATGCCAAAAGGACAAGCGTGAAGCTACTTTCAACATTTATGTCCACGATGAAAGTCAGAATGAGGAAGCGAGTCCAATATCTAGAGAACATCTGGGCTGCTCCGTGCAGTGTGGGTGGGCACGGTACAAGAACTAGCAGCTCGGGGACAAAGTGTCCCTATTATTATTATTATGGTAGCATCTAAAGGCCCCCATTGTGCTAGGCGCTGTACAAATACATAGTGAGAGAGAGTCCTTGCCCCAACAAGTTTACAATCTAAACAGGCAAGACAGACAAAGGGTGGGAGGGGAAACAAAGACACAACAGAGCCAGAAAACTCAGATCTCCTGATTCCCCCCGGAGTCCAGGGTCCTAGAAACTGGACCACTCTGCCCTTCTGATGCTTATACCCAAATTTGATAACCAGTAGCATTAAAATGAGGCGACTGAGTTCCTTGCTAGTTACAGTGTGAAAGAAAGGACAGCGGAAATAATCTTAATTAACTGCACAAATCAATGCTGAACGACCCTCTCCAATATCAGTCAAAGGAAAACCTACAACACACACACACACACAATGTATCCAACTGAAAGAGATCAAGATGGGTTCAGGAATTTTACTGTATTTTTTTATTAAAGCCCACTCGTCAGCTGAATAAACGATGGGACTGGGAACACTGTCTGTTTCAGATCACTGATTCTCTTCTTCCACCCTCCTCTCCCAATGGTACAATGAGTGCATTAGAGGCAAGCCACTCCTTAAATAACATACTGAGGAGTGGTCAGATTATGATTTCCGAGGTCCCACAATGATCAGTGGAAGGAAAAGGCAAACAAAGATACTCTGTTCTATGCAGGATCTCAGAAAAGGAGCATTTTAAAGCATTTCCTGTGCAAACATTCGTCATTATTTTATTTTAAAAATCATATAGCCGTTTCAATTACCCTCCAAGGAGCTATTGTGTCGAATTTGGAGACTAAATTCAATCATTAAAATGTAAAAAGAGCAAGTTCTGTCCTGCTGTAATTGTAAGTCTCAGTGCAACTGCAACTCGGGAATTTGCCACCGATCCCGCCGTAATACTGATGGATAATTAGGAGCGGATACAGCGAAGCAGATCAGCTCAATAACTGCTCACTCTTTGGGCGGATGCTGGAGATCAGGGTTTAGGAGCACTTTTGTGCACTCCTATCCAGGCATTTCCAGCGCACCAGCCCCTGCGGAATCCAGGTACCAAATCAGAAGCTATCCCTCTGCTGAGGAGGAATAGCTTCTCCTTGCCTGAGGTTGTAAAGGCTAGGACTATAATAGGGTTTAAAAGTGAACTAGATAAATTCATGGAGGTTAAGTCCATTAATGGCTATTAGCCAGGATGGGTAAGGAATGGTGTCCCTAGCCTCTGTTTGTCAGAGGGTGGAGATGGACAGCAGGAGAGAGATCACTTGATCATTACCTGTTAGGTTCACTCCCTCTGGGGCATCCGGCATTGGCCACTGTCGGTAGACGGGATACTGGGCTACAAAGACCTTTGGTCTGACCCAGTACGGCCGTTCTTATGTTCTTAGCCGCGAATGTTACGACAGTGTTAATTGCTCCCTATGCTGTGTCCGGAGGGCACATCTTCCCTGATGGGAGGTACGGTTGGTGGGAGGGTGGACTGTGGGCACAGAATAGAAAGTGCCTCCAGAACGTGATGGAAACCCCATGCACCAACACAGACAGGCTGTTGACAATAACTCCTTGTGCTTCCCCATGAAAGTTAGAAAGATATGGCACAGCCTTCCTGCTAATGTTGGTAGCCTCCCTGCCATTACAAACATAGCCTGCCACAATCTCCCAGCATGGATCTTCATAGAACTATTGTTTCAAATCCAGCCAACCAGCAGGACCCTATTCATGCCCAGGCAGGTTGAATGCTGCAGGGCTTAAGCTGACCTCCTATGGGGAATAGTAAGAAGTTACCTCCACTCTCCAGGCACACTACAGCTTTGTGCAATTAAACTAGGTGCCACATTCCTTGGAAGCACCCGGCACTTCTGAGAGCAGCCTAATTGGTTCAGTCATCTGATGTGCTACGACAACTCCTATATCTCTATGATTTGTCTCAATCACCATTCTCTGCTCTACGGGTGCAACGAGGAAGCAGAGACCGACTGCGGCTGTTGGACTTGAGCACCCTCCACTTCCTGAGCCGGTGGCAGCTTTCTGACAACATGTGCCGTGCAGATGAGCTGCTCTCTGCCTGCATTCTGACCTACGGATGTGGAGGATTCTCCCTCACTCGCAATCTCTAAGTCATGAGTGGATGCCTCCAAAAGATGTATCCCACGCGGGCCCTGAAGGGGCTAATGTCGGCCCGCGAGGCCAATTAACAATACCAGGCTGCGCCTGGACGAGGAGCCAGGCTTAACTGATCATGAGCCCAGCTGGTCAGGAGCAAGCTGGTTAGTATAAAGAGAGACGGTCTGTGGCAGAAAGGGGCTGACGCTCAGGAGCGGCGGTCAGACATAGTCTCAGGCCGTATGGCAATAAGAAAGGGTCTCTCCGAATGCAGAAGTGATTTAATCAATCAAATTATATTTCTAGTGACAGAGTTAGTACCGATGGGGAAACATGTAGCATTAGCCTGAATCCCAGTGCATATCGGGGTAAAGAGGGACTGAAATGATGGGACAAAGCACCTAAAAGCACTGTAAGAAAAGGAAGGATTGACCTAGAAATACCATGAGTAAACGGGAATTCTAAAGCCAAGTGCAGAAAAATTTCAAAGAACGGCGGCAAAATCTTTGGATCAATGAAAAAAGAGGTAGAAGATATTCTGAACTGTGCCCTGGAGTTGAGGAGAATGACATATTTAAGGGCCTTGATAGGAAAAATGAAGTGATTTTGTTTAGAGTACTGACTGGTCACTGTGATTTAAACAAAAATCTTTTGAAAAAATAAACCCAGAGATGGACTATGTGCATGCTGTAGGGTAGAAGAAACAAACTGATCACTTTTTATGGGTATGTTGGGGCTTTGATAAAGAAAAGGGAAAAGCTTGTTGAGGAATTTAAATGGCTTAAGGCAGAGGTGGGCAAACATTTTGGCCCGAGGGCCAGATCTGGGTGCGGAAATAGTATGCAGGACCATGAATGTAGGGCTGGAGCAGGAGGTTGGAGTGTGGGAGGGAGTGCAGGAGGGGGTGCGGTGTGCAGGAAGGGGCTCAGGGCAGGGGGTTGGGGTGCACGAGGGGTGCGGCTGGAGGCTCAGGGCAGGGGGTTGGGGTGCACGAGGGGATGCAATGTGCAGGAAGGGGTTCAGGGCAGGGGGTTGGGGTGCGGAATGCAAGAGGGGTTCAGGGTACGGGCTCCGGCCCGGTGCTGCTTACCTTGAGCAGCTCTGGGATGGCAGCAGCACGTAGCGGGGCTAAGGCAGGCTCCCTGCCTGCCCTGGCCCTGCGCCACTCCCGGAAGTGGCTAGCATGTCTGGCAGTGGCTCCTAGGGGTGTAGTGGGGCAGGCGGCTCCACCGCATGCTACCCTCGCCTGTGGGTACCACCCCCAAAGCTCCCATTGGCCGCAGTTCCCCATTCCCAGCCAAAGGGGGCTGCGGGGAGGCAGTGCCTGGAGGTGAGGGCAATGCACGGAGCCCTCTGCCCCCCGCCGCAGGGGCCGCAGGGACGTGGTGCCGGTTGCTTCCAGGAGCGTCGCAGGGCCAGGGCCAGGGAGCCTGCCTTAGCCCTGCTGGCCCGCGGGTCATAGTGTGCCCTCCCCGGCTTTAGATAACAAAAGTCATATTATGTTACTTAGAAAAATATCACGAAAATGGGGTCGTAGCAGAAAGGCACCTGATGGACACAGGGCAGAGTGAAAGGATATAAATGGCTGAGTATTTAGCAATTATAGTTGGTGGCTATAGACTATTCAGTTAAGTCTGCTTCACCATGGAAAGAGAGAGAGAGAGAGTAAGAGTCTGCAGTCACTCTCTGGCAATAGAGAGGCAGTGAGGAGTAAGCCCTGGGATTCTAGCTAGATGAGGGGAAGGCTGGGAAGGAAAGCTGGATTGCAGGGGAAGGGAACACCCCTGGCCAGCGGGCCTAAGAGAAGGGCAGGTCTGGGTAAGAACTTTGAAAGAGGGGGCAAGGCTAGGAAAGCTGGCAATGGAAGAAGGCACAAACTAAGGGAAAGGATCAATAGAGGGGCCTGCAGGAAGGAGCTAGGACTCTGAGACTGTTTCTGAAGGGAGAGGGCAGCTGGGGAGAAAGACTTTCTAAAGCAGGCCTGGGAGAAGGCAGGCTCCAGGGCAGAAGTCCTGAGTGTCAGAGGTTTGGGAGGAGCTGGGCCTCCAGAGAAAGCAGCTCTCTTAGACAGAGGGAGGATGAACTCTACAGAGCACGGGAGGGGGGAAAAGAAGTGAACTGACGATTGATTTGGGGAAGGATAGAAGAGTTTTTGTCCCTTTGAGTTGGGACATAATTACCCCAGAAGGGATGGACTAAATCATGATCTGGCTGAAGGGCGGAATGATGGTGAAAGAGACGACTGCAGCACTGGAGCGACCATTGGAAGGCAGCACTCAGTGAGCAGAGAACCACCATGCCATGCCTGGCCACTAGGAGGTGCTCCTGCGGTGAGTGAACTCCTCCACAATACGCCATCGTTCCAACAGAACTTACGGACTTGACACCGAAATTACTGGGTGAAATTCTATGTCTGGTGCTAAGCAGTAAGTCAGACTAGCTCATCATAATGGTCCTTCTGGCCTACAAATCCATGAAAGATGGGAAGAAGTTTCACTTGCCTTGCCTACACATTGCTGATGTAGAGGCTTATGGTACCTTGTGCTGTGCTATTCCCAAGAAGTTTCAGGATGCAGGAGGGAATCCTGCATTCATTACAGCCTCTTAATCCAAGTTATCGGTTTAAAAAGCATTCTCCTCCCTAATGGTTATTCTAGCTACTCAAGCACTTTTCGATAAACTCTCCTACGTTTGAAACACTTTGCAACATCACTCCTCTACCAGATGATTAACAGATACATCCTAAGCATTATTATGATAATACAAATAATTCATAATTTTTCAAAAGGGACACAGCGTCTGGACAGTCACTTTAATAGGAGAAAACTCAGGGAGCCTATTTTTCTCTTATTAAATTTAAGGACTGTTCTATTCTATTTCTTTAGGGGGACAATTGTAACTACTTCAACTACTCTTTTTGGGAAGGGGTTTTGGCCTCATTACCCTGCCAAATGCAAGTGGAGTTGTTCATGCAGCCACTAAAGATCAAAAATTGCTTGTGGTTTTTGTGCTCTATTTCTCTCATGCAACAGCACCTGGGATTTTTCAGTAATATTCTGGGTTTTTGCATACAGTTTAAGGATCTAATATTAAAAATTGTTGATGAGCAGCAAGTTAATCCATTTTGTGCAATAATGAAAGATGCAACTCCGGCTGCAACTAAACAAGTGGGAGAATAAACTTTAAGTAACGTGGTTAAACTGTGTTTAGATGAGATGGCCACTTCATTGTGACTGGCTGCAGCTCACTGAGGGCCCCAATGAAAAGGCTTCTTCCGTAATAGTAGTAAGAGAACAGATACTGTTTGTAGACCAAGCAATATATAGTCTTACCATTGGTAGGCGTCTGCGAGTCCTAATCTGTGGAATAAACAAACTCTTGTCAGTAAATCAGCGGAGCAGATCCGTATCAGCTGTGTGATCTGTTAGCAATTTAGTGCGTGGAAATACACAGAGTAAGAAAAGGGAGGATATTACTAATTAATACAAAAAGGGGAAGAGAGGAAAGCAGCATAATCAATAGCAGAGGTTTCTGAAATACAAAGTAGTACTTTGTGGGTGGTGTTGAACAGATTTTCAATGCTCTTCTTAAATGTATGGTACCAATTCTAATGCAGTAAGACCCCAATCCTGCAAAGACTTGCACGCACACTTAACTTTACACATATGAATCGTCCTATTGACTTCAACTGGGATACTCATGTGAATGAAGTTAAGCATGCATGCAAGTCTTTGCAGGCTCGGGGCCATAGTTTCTTTATACAGTTGTATTATAAAATCCAACTCTCTCTTAGTCACAATAGCTCTTCAGGGCTAAACATGAGTTAAGACCAATGAAAATTCCTTTACTCAGCAGATCAAGTCAGCAGATCTGACCCTGAATACTCAAAAGGAAGAGATTCCGGAGTAAGAAGATACCATTTTTATACAGTTGCTCTTCAGAGCAGAGCTGGACTTTAAGCCCATTGCAGACATACATTTCATTGATTTATACATCTCTGTTGTATGGGCTCTTACTCCTCAACTTTCCAAATTAAACAGTTCTGGTTTTAATCTCTCCTGAAATGGAAGACCCCACCCAGACCCTGTACCGCTACAGAATGCCAGTGCCCTTCTTAGGTTTGTTATGCTGAAGTGGGCTTCACTGTACTTCATTAACTAGACATGTTTCAGCTGAATAGGTGACTGCTCTAAGTATTAAATGCATTTGCCAAGTGTAACTAATGTTAAACTGGGATTTTATCGCCCTCCAAAAATGCCTCCTGTATGTATGTGTCTGGCCCAAAAGGGCAGGGCTGAGTTCTGCGAAGGGTCCACTGAGAATCTGAGTTTAACTCCGTGAAGAGGATTCCCCCCCCTGCAGAATCACAGGACTGCAGCCTCAATGGCAGCTTTGATAATTGGAGACAGGGCTACTTCATGCCGACTTCAAAGCACCTTGAAATCACACAGACTGCTACAGGCCGGGGAGTGGGGTGGGGTGGAGTGGAGTCAAAGAGCAGAAATCTGTGACAAACTAACATGGGTTCCACTTCCCAATTAGCTTATCAAAATCTCTTAGCACAGAACAACACTTTCTGAAATGACAGCACTGAGGCTGCATCTACACTAGCAAAGCTCATAGCTGTAATTCACCGCAGTGCGGTTCCTTAGGGTTAGACAACACTGTGACAAAGAGACCCACGCCCTGTCTACACTACAGCTTCCACCTTTGCTACCACTGGTGGTGAATTACCGTGTTGGTGAGTGGGGACAAGGCCTAAGGAGGGAGTCCAGGTGCCAGACCCAATTACTAGGGCTGTCGATTAATCGCAGTTAACTCATGAGATTAACTCAAAAAGAGTAATCACGATTAATCGCAGTTTTAATTGCGCTGTTAAACAATAGAATACCAATGGAAATTTATTAAATATTTTGGATGTTTTTCTCCATTTTCATATATATTGTATTCTGTGTTGTAATTGAAATCGAAGTGTATATTATTTTTTATTACAAAATATTTGCACTGTAAAAATGATAAACAAAAGAAATAGTAGATCTCTACCCCGATATAACACGAATTCGGATATAACGCGGTAAAGCAGCGGGGAGCCCCGGGCCCTTTAAAGCGCCGCCCGAGCCCCACTGCTTTCCTGCGTTATATCCGAATTCGTGTGGAGCCCTGGGCCCTTTAAATCCCCGCCCGAGCCTGGCTGCCGGAGCCTCAGCCAGGCTCGGGTGGGGATTTAAAGGGCCAGAGGCTCCGGCCGCTGCGGGGAGCCCCGGGCCCTTTAAAGTGCTGCCGAGCCCCGCTGCCGGAGCTCCGGCGGTGATTTAAAGGGCCCGGGACTCCCCGCAGCGGCTGGAGCACCGGGCCCTTTAAATCACCGCCGGGGAAGCAGGTCCAGTCTGGCATGGCATACCGGCTCTTCCCGGCACCCCATACCGGACCGTACCCGATATAATGCGGTCTCACCTATAAGGCGGTGATATTTTTTGGCTCCCAAGGACCGCGCTGTATCGGGGTAGAGGTGTATTTTTCAATTCACCTCATACAAGTACTGACTGTAGTGTAATTTCTTTGTCGTGAAAGTGCAACTTACAAATGTAGATTTTTTTTTTGTTATGTAGCTGCACTCAAAAACAAAACAATGTAAAACTTCGGAGCCTACAAGTCCATTCAGCCCCACTTCTTGTTCAGCCAATCGCTAAGACAAATAAATTTGTTTACATTTACGGGAGATAATGCTGCACACTTCTTATTTATAATGTCACCAGAAAGTGAGAACAGGCATTTGCATGGCACTTTTGTAGCCGGCATTGCAAGGTATTTACGTGCCAAATATGCTAAACATTCATATGCCCCTTCATGCTTTGGCCACCATTCCAGCGGACATGCTTCCATGCTGACAATGCTTATTAAAAAAATAATGCATTAATTAAATTTGTGACTGACCTTGGGAGAGAATTGTATGTCCCCTGCTCTGTTTTACCCGCATTCTGCCATATATTTCATGTTATGGCAGTCTTGGATGATGACCCAGTACATGTGGTTCATTTTAAGAACCCTTTCACTGCAGATTTCACAAAATGCAAAGAAGGTACTAATGTGAGATTTCTAAAGATAGCTACAGCACTCGACTCAAGGTTTAAGAATCTGACGTGCCTTCCAAAATCTGAGAGGGCTGAGGTGTGAAGCATGCTTTCAGGTCTTAAAAGAGCAACAGTCCGATGCGGAAACTACAGAACCTGAGCCACCAAAAAAAAAAATCAATCTTCTGCTGGTGGCATCTCACTCAGATAATGAAAATTAACATGCATCAGTCCACACTGCTTTGGATTGTTATCGAGCAGAACCGGTCATCAGCATGGACACATGTCCCCTGGAATGGTGGTTGAAGCATGAAGGGACATATGAATCTTTAGCGCATCTGGCATGTAAATATCTTGTGACACCAGCTACAACGGTGCCATGAGAACGCCTGTTCTCACTTTCAGGTGACATTGTAAACAAGAAGCAGGCAGCATTCTCTCCTTCAAATGTAAATAAACTTGTTTGTCTGACCAATTGGCTGAACAAGAAGTAAGACTGAGTGGACTTGCAGGCTCTAAAATTTTTACATTGCTTTATTTTTTAATGGAGGTTTTTTTGTACATAATTCTACATTTGTAAGTTCAACTTTCATGATAAAGAGATTGCACTACAGTACTTGTATTAGGTGAATTGAGAAATGCTATTTCTTTTGTTTTTTTACAGTGCAAATACTTGTAATCAAAACTAAATATATAGTGAGCACTGTACACTTTGTATTCTGTATTGTAATTGAAATCAATATATTTGAAAATGTAGAAAACATCCAAAATATTGAAATAAATGGTATTCAATTATTGTTTAACAGCGCGATTAATCACGCGATTAATATTTTTAAACGCTTGACAGCCCTAACAATTACCGATAGCTTCCTTGGAGCCCATGTGATAGGAGAGGTCCTCTCTGAGTAGCATGCAATGTTTTTCTGTGGTGAGATGATACAAAGAGGCACTTGGCATATTTACGCCGGAAGCAAGTCATCATTTGGGGATACAGCCATATTTTGCTTAGTAGATAAATAGTTGATTAACAGATTCTTCAAAGCCAATAAACATAACGGAACATCTACTGTCTGTACATCTACTCCTTCCCCCACCAAACTCCAGTGGCCTCTGAGACACTCCCTTGCCAGACTGTTCCTCCGCTACTGCTAGTAATCAGCCATAGGGTTTCTCCATACCTCTCTAAGCGTGATTGCAGAAAATGCAGTCGCTCCTCTCTCAGGCTGCCGCCACATAACTCCCCTATTCCTGGTACCAGAAGATCAACAGCTGCAACCTTAGGGGAAAGAGAGTCATAAACTGAGTCATGCCATTTAACTGTGCAGTCCAACAGTAATCCCAGGGCTGCTGTGAGGATAAATTCATCCCTGTTTGTGAGGTGCTCTGATACCATGGAGATGGACCCTATGCAAGTACATAGATAGTGATCTAACCCATTGGTAGCTGGACATCATAGTGACTAGCACAAGCTAACAGATGGCATAGCTTATATGGTATACAACAGATCAGGAATCCTAGGGTACGTCTACACTGGAGCTTTGGTGTAATTTCCAGATCAAGACAACATAGATGCACTAATTCTGATCAAGCTAGCGTGCTAAAAAATAAAAGGGTAGCTATGGCGGTTCAAGCAGCTAGCCACCCTGAGTATGATCCTGTCTGAAACCATATAGTCGGGGTGGCTACACTTCTATGGGTGCTAACGTGATCAAAGCCAGAGGAGGTATGTCTCCTCGAGCTGGAAGTTACACCTTCCACAGAAGACATATTCTGGCTGGTCACTGGAAGAAGGGATCGAACCCAGAACCTCTGGATAGAAAAGCAGGAGCCTCTACTGCCTGAGCTAAAAAACCCGGCTGTTAGCCAAAGACTGTAGCAGACTCATGTACTCCTGTGCTCCAGTTGCTAGAGGGGGACAAAGAAGCACCCTGAGGAAACATGGGCTTCTACGGGGGTCCTCACAGACCCTTTCCCAAATGCTGCTCCCTCTTGCCAGGTGGGGAGGGCTCTCCCATCCAGTCACTACAACTGCGACTCGAGCTTCTGCTGTTGAGTCTAAGATACCACTTATGTAAATATATACACACTCCAGAGGAGCTTCTCCAGCCGTGACTGTTTATAGCAGCAGCAAATGTTTCATTTCGTTACCTCGGACTTGCGGAATGCATTTTGCAGAGGGGCAGGGTCACTAAATGCAACAGCCATCTGCCAGTGAGGGTAAAAAATACTAGGCTGATACCAAAATCAAATCCAAGTCGGCCCCTTTCATTCTGACATAAAAGTGTCTGCACCGAAATAACAACCCGTGTGAAATGAAACCGATTCAGTTATTTTGGTGTAAGTCTGTGTGTGCCCAAGCCCCAAGGGGTACGAAGAGCAAGCTGGGGGGGTGGGGAGGGGGCAGGCAAATGCAGATATGCCTCGACTGTCGAAGGCACAGCGGAATTCCTCCAGACACAGTGCCTGGAGTCACACAGCACAGGGACCCCATGCTGAAAGCAGAACCCAAAAGGAGTCTATTTCCTGTCACCATCTGCTGGTAGGAGGATAAAATACCCACAGACTAGGCTAGGAAGGCTGGAAAACAATGCCATGGAATACTATGGGCATTGGTTGTCATGAAAGAGGCTCCTCTTAAAAAAACGTGTTACCGTATTTTATGTTTGAACTTCCCTTAAAAAGAAACTGACAACAGCAAACCTAACTGGCTGCCTTCCAAAGACCTAGCCTGTCCATTCTTCTCTTGACCGACTGGATTCTCTCCTGTTTTGGATCTCTCTCTAAAGGAAGGAAAGGGTCTAGCCTGGGTCTTAACTGTTGCAGTTGATTGATGTATCTTATCTCCTGCTTCTGACTGGAGACCAGAATGATGCTAATCTATTGCTAGGTAGGATGAGGGAGGATAGCGCGCGTGACCAAAAGGTATGGAGATGCACACACACGGACTTACTGTGTGTTGAGGTCCATCTTCATTGTCCCGCATGTAGAAAGGTTTGAGATCATACGGGTAGTTAACCACAAACACAGGAACCTCGCCGCAGTGCTTCACCAGGTATTTCTCATGTTGAGTTTGGAGATCGCTGCCCCACTGTAAAGACAATAACATGGAGAGCAAGGGAAGTTGGACCCTGCAGTAGTGCAGTGCGTGCACGTTAGAAGACACAGTCAGACCCCACACAGTGGAGATGCACCATTTTCAAAGGCTGGATACTAGGAAGGGTGCCGCCCCTCACAGGGTCTCTAGAATGTGGAAAGATCTAGTAGGCAAACGGCACTAACATAAGTTTCCCAGATTTTTAAGGCCAGACAGGATCAAGTTGATCATCCCGTCTGACCTCCTGCATAACATGGGCCAGAGAATCCCACCAAGGAATCCCTGCATCTCTCCCAGTAACTTGTGCTTGAACTAGAGCAGATCGTTATGTTGTCTAAGTGAACAGACAACTTGGACAAAGGTTCCCCCCGCCTCCAACAAACCTGGTTAATTTTTAGCAACCTGCTAAAGTGAATTTATCCAAGCACTGCTTGTACTCATCCTGTTCCCTGTCTCTTCCCTCCCTTCCCAGACACAGCCTGGTGCATGCCACACCACCTCTGCAGCCTCTCGCTTAGGAAAACCCAATGCCCCCTGGAAGAGACCATCAAGTGTACCCGCATCCATTGCAGCAGGAGCGTGAGCCATGCACGATTTGTTGGGGGGAACTGCTCGTGTGACAGACAGCTGTATCCGGATAGAGGATTTACAACTCTCTATTAAACTCTGAGCCTATTTGTGTAAGACTAAATTATCTGTTGATCTTGGCCTATCTGCTCTGAAGGTGGGCCCAGCCAGATTTATCCTCAAAGCAATGGACTGAGGACTGTTAACACTAATGACTATGTATGCAGGATTAGAAGTAGGTGGTCAAGTGAGGACTTTGCCTACTGTGGCATCTGTTAGAAGCAGGGATGAAGTAGGAGTTTTAGGAACACTGTAATTTGTAAACTGCTTTCTCCTTGGCTACAATAGTCTTTTAGAAAAACAAAGGACTCCCTTTACCTATCTAGGCAATACAGTGTTTTGACTCAGTTTTACTACTACCTAGTTAAACCCTTGGTACGACCTAAATTCCTCTCGCCTATTAGATGGTTATGATGTGTTCCTGAAGTATACACAATGCACTAGGCACTGTCCATGCACACAGGCAGGGACAGCTCCTTCTGCAAAGGGCTTACAATCTACTGGTATGGTGCCACCTCTCTCCCTTAAGCCATTGCTTAGCTTCACTACGCACACTTCACTCTTGTAATAACTTGTTTCCTAAATTATTCAACGCTTCATCTTCCAAGCTACGGTGGTTACACTGGATTATGGCTGGTTTGCAACCGTGCAATGACACAAAACAAAAGGACTGTGTGAACTAACAACTCTGTTGCAACATCAGAAAGAGAGAAGTGAGGCTTCCCCGGGATTTAGAAATGGAGAGCATTCTGCAGACCCACCACACAGAAGCAGGAACCAGGCTTTGGCTCTCTCACAGCCAGGGTACCCACTGACCTTTGGTTGGAAAGTGAATGTCTGAGGAGCTCGCTTTAAAATTTCCACTGCTTCAGTATAGGAAATTCTGTAAGAAAAAAAAATAAGCATTTGACACTGCAAATGAGAGTACCAAGAGGGTCCCTTCCTAAGCATTGCACTGGAAAACGAAAGGGACACTCCAGCCAGGCCACCCTGGGTTGTGATCTCAGATTTCTCAATCTAAGCAAGGTCAACTCTGTTACATACCTTGGATGGAAACTTCTCTCCTAAAGGAACTCCAGAATATCACAGGAAGAGCTCCTGGTAACTTAGTAGATTACAGTTTCTCACTGAGTTAGTCACTGAACCTAGGTGCTGCTTATTGCTTTACCACACATGATGCCTTAACAATGAGCACCTGGAGAGATCAAAGATTACATGATACTCTTCTCAAGAGGGATGGGGGGGGGGGAGGCAAATTCCAGTTTGGAGGATTATGTTCTGCCTGCCTTCATTTCATAAGATGCTTCTTTTACACTGTTAAACAGACTTCATGCTCCACCCTAGACGTGGATGCATATGGTCTAGGACTGAAGTGATTCCGTTGAAATCTAGTTTGTGTTAGTACATGGGAGCTCTTCAGGATGAAAGAAATCCCATCAGTCTAGCACCAACCATGTGCTCCACACACTACTCTACAAGAGGACAGATCATGCCATGAAGCGCTGACATTAATAGAAGAGTTACGATTGTCACAATGTAAAATGCCAGACTTATTTTCATCAACATGTCTGTGTCCCCAAAAAAGCAATTTGGCACCAGATTCGCCACCACGGTAAATCAATAGAGCAATTGGCAGAGCAAACTGGGATAACAGAGTGAAGAATCTGTCCCAGTGTCTTCTTTGCAACCTGCAAAAATGGGACTGGAAATCAAAACCAAACCAAGGAAGCTGCGTGATGGATTTTCCACATACCAGGCTGTAACAACGTAAACAAGCCATCCCTGAGAAAACTAAAATAGCCTGGTAACAATAACCAAATCTCTGTGTATCACTGGCTAAATCCAGTTCTAGACCAAGCTCCCTAAAGAAGATCCACAAGGATTCAATAATACATTAAAGCTTTCTGAAATAAACAGTCAGTGAGGAATATGCTGTTCCATGTGCTTGGGTTACGGGATTCCACAATAACTCGGCTGGAAACTCACCTACTTTTGCTACCTGAAGCCTTTTGAAAGTGGCCCATAGCTCAAATGTGACTCATGGTGTTCTCTCTCTCTCTCACACTCTCTCTCACACACACACACACACACACTGCACTTCTCAGCAACGTTTTGTGGTGCTTGTGCAGATGAAAATAACACTGAAAGTTATAAATCACAAATCCATTGTCATCAAGCATGGATGTGGCAGGCTAGCTTAAGTGCAACGCCCGGGAGAGTTGTGGGTGGGCGCCCTGGTATGGCTTGGCAGAATGAATGGACAGCCACCAGACGTCAAGCGCTCAGATGAGAGTGGAGCAAAAAGGAGATGCTTGGAGGCCCAGAATGGGGACTGAAGTCCTCTCTTATCTAAAAGCAGTCAAGGGCTATAGAGCTAATACAGAACAGCAGGGATTTCGAGGAAAGAGGAGCATATCACAGTCTAAAGGGGCATGGCTGAAGCCTATGAACAATTATTTATTTTGCAGTAGCGTCCAGAGCGTGGGTAGGCACTGCACAGACATACACCATCAGGAAGACAGTCCCTGTGCCAAAGTGTCTGGGAAGACAAAAACAAAGGGTAGGAGAAACAGATGCAACACACAAGCAAAGTGGTCAGGGAGACGGTAACCATTCCTGAGGCAAAGAGCACAGCTTAAATACAGGTAGGGAACTGCGATTAGGGCCTTTAAAAGACATTGTGCAGAATTAATAGTCAGTGGCATGACAAGGGGACGGGGGAAAATAACTATTGAGGAGCTCAACCAACAGCAGCATGTCGTAGGTCAGCTATCAAAAAATAGTACTCACGTTATGAATTTGTTCTTCAGCATCTGTTCTAACCTGCCCTTGGTTAAAACAAAAGACAAAAAATAAAAATGTAAACCTACTCTTAATGGGTAATACAAGAGAGCTCTGTTAAATTCAGGCCTACGCACTGCCAAGAGTGTTTGCAAGATATAGGGGGGTTGCAGTTTTTTCTCTCATGTTTATTACCTTTTGGGCAGGCGATACATATTTATGAAAAAGCTCAACATCTTGAGGACATTTGGAGAGCACGATGCTTGTCGCGGTCTTGAAAAGATCCTCCATAACCTAACAGGAAAAACACAGAACAGCACGAAATTGAGACCACCTATATATCCTAGGCCAGGGGTCGGCAACCTTTCAGAAGTGGTGTGCCGAGTCTTCATTTATTCACTCTAATTTAAGGTTTTGCATGCCGGTAATACATTTTAATGTTTTTAGAAGGTCTCTTTCTATAAGTCTATATTATATAACTAAACTATTGTATGTAAAGTAAACAAGGTTTTCAAAATGTTTAAGAAGCTTCATTTAAAATTAAATTAAAATGCTGATCTTACTCCACCAGCCTGCTCAGCCCACTGCCAACCTG